AAAATGATTTTCCATAATGGAAACATTCCATCATCTTTTAACTCCATTTGCCCACGAACTTTTGGAAGCATTCCTGTGTACAGTATTTTGCCTAGTGCTTGGTAGTGTGCCCCCCAAAAAGCGTCACTGTCCTCCTTCAACACTGTGTCACGAATAGAAACACAGAGTTCAATGGCAAACATCTGCTGCTCAGACCAAAAACACCCAGAGAAGTTCCACGGATCCTAAGTCCCACAGGGTGAAATAATGCAAAGACAAGGGAAGAAAGCATATGAAATTAATTATGCCCTAGGATAGACGTCATCTGCTATTCTCATGAAGCGCCTGCCTGAGTGGTCACAGGGTGTTTATCAGCGTCACACACCGCAGGAAGAAAGCGCTTAGGGACACGTCTTGACAAATGCCAGCTCTAACCCCATTTCTCTGCTCACAGAACCATCTGCATTCTGTTTCAATCATCAGTATTTTGCCTAGCACCAAGCGGAGGTTTTAAGCGAACAGTATCCTCTAAGTAGTTTTAAATCCAAGCTCGAAATAAAAATGTTTTTTTAAATGTTGACAGCTTCTGAGACTATCTACTAACCTAATGACATCTTCTATAAGTGGAAGAAAATGATAAGGAAAGATCATGGATTTTGCTGAATAAAGTAAGTCCATCACAAAAGGACAAATGCTACATGATCCCACATCCATGAAAACAGGCGGCTGTACAGAGAAGGAAGAGGAGTCCTGGTGTGGTGCTGTGGGCTAATGCGTCAGACTGCAAGGTCGGTGGTTCAAGCTCACCAGCCGCTCCTTGGAAACCCCACACAGGGTCGCTATGGGTCAGAATTGACCATAGCACTTAACAACAACAACATAGAGAAAAAAGTTTTTTAGTGGAGAACAGCTGGGGGAAGGAGTTGATGCTTAGGTGGACTGGGTTTCTAATCAATAATTAGAAAAAAGATATTGGCGGCACCATGTGAAGAACACACCCTTGTCTCTGATTTATGCAAGTAAACATTGCTGAATCAGCATGTTTTGCTATTCATATTTTTGTACCCTCCCCCACCACACACACACACAAATCAACCCTGAATTGGTTGTGTTGCATATACTGTTTATGGGCTTCAGACTTCACTAGTGAAAGCTGGTGGGGGAAGGGGGCTGTGAAATGCTTGTGGTCAGAACAAACATGGCTTCTTTAGCAGTAATGATTGCTTATTGCAATGCAGTCCTCATAAAATACGAGAGAGAGTTGCTCTCCTGCAACACTATACTGTGAACAGGAACTCAAAAGAAGTCCCCTGGGTCCAGAATCCCACAGGCAGGAGAAAGCAAAAAAAGAGGGTGGGGGGTAAGCATATGGAGTTAATTCTGCTCTTGGATAAACCCTCTCTAGTATGAGATGAGGTATTCTTGTGCATTAATGGTAGAAATGCATGCTAGTAAAATCTTTTAGAAAAAGAATTATGTGTGTGTGTGTGTGTGTGTTTATAGTTGATGGGGTCCTGGTGTGGTACTGTAAGATAACCACCAAACTCACCAGCCACTCTTCGGAAACTCTATACAGGGTTTCTATGGGTCGAAACTGGCAAGATAACACTTAACAACACTTAACAACAACAAATAAATAGCCTCCTTCTACTAAGAGGGGTCACTTGGGCACATAAAGTACCAGAGAAAACAAAGTTGGTATCACAGGACTTGAGTAAAAATTTTATAACACAAGTTAGTAAACGTCACCAAGCCTTGGTTTCCTCCCCTGTAAAATGGAACTAAAAATGTTGTCTAATGTGTGTTGTAAGGAGCTCTGGTAGCGCAGTGGTTACAAATCGGGCTGCGAACCTTAAGGTCAGCAGTTTGAAACTACCAGTGGCTCCGCGGGAGAAAGATGAGGCATTCTGCTCCCATAAAGATTTACAGCCTCGGAAACCCTGTACCGGGTCGCTATGGGTCGGAACCGACTCGACGGCACTTAACAACAACAATGTGTGTTGTAGGTAGGGTAAGCATTAGACTGCAAACCACAAGGTCAGCAGTTCAAACCTACCAGCTGCCCCTCAGAAGCCCTGTACAAGGTTGCTATGAGTAGAAATCGACTTGACAGCATTTAATAACTCTGTAGGGTTGTTGACATATTTAAATAGCATAATGTGTAGGTGGTTGTTAAGTACCTTCTAGTCAGTTCTGACTCACAGTGCCCCTGTATAGTGTTTCTGAGAAGTAGCTGATGGGATTGTACCACCAACCTTATGGTTAGCAGTCCAGGGCTTATCCTACAGCACCACACCAGGACTTCAGTGTGTAGGTGGTTCCTAGAAATCCATTGTAAGTTAGTTCTGACGTAAGTCGAATATCTCTTTTAAGGTTTCATAGTCTGCCTTACAGCAGTGTTCTGAGCAATAAATTAGAAGACATTTGAGCATTAGTATGTGAAAGTCTGAGAATGGTATTACAGTATATGAAGTCTGAGAATGATGTTAAATGCCGTCAAGTTGGTTCAAACTCACAGCGGCCCTGTATAGGGTTTCTAAGGAGTGGCAGGTGGGTTTGAACCACCGACCTTGTGGGTAGCAGTCCAGCGCTTATCCAACAGCACCATCAGCAAATATCGTGCTATAACATTATATGTAGGACATATAACTAACAATAAGATGTACATGCACAAAAAAGCCACACGGTGGGTCTAGTGCATGTCATTGTAACACAAATACATCGTAAGTCAGTACGTGGGGGTTGTAGAATGTTTTTCTAACCTTTCATTTCTCCCTTCATTCCTCCCTCCCTTCCTCTTCCTCCTCTTTCTTCTTCCATTCCTCTGTCCATCCATCCATCTAGTTCCATCGATAGATTGGTTGTTACGATGAACTTTCCTTTATCAACAAGAAATAAATTACACTCTCCCTTCAAAAAATGCCTGATAAGTACTTAATTCTGTCCCTCAACTGCCAATTTAAAAAATAAAAATAGATATAACAGTCATTTCCAATGGTAGCAAATGAGATTTTTTTTTTCTCTCCATTATGTTGTTTGTATCACTATAACTCATGTTTTTAAAATATATATATAGTTCCTAGTTCTGTCCACTCTCAGTATAAGTAAAATCATTCCAGTACAAGCAATACCCCTAGTACCTAGATCTTAGTTTCAAAATACCATGTCTTGCTCTAAGCAAGCTGATCTCTTTGGAGAAGTCTCAGGTAGAAAGTACAAGGTAAGCCTGGGACATCTCATTGTAACAAACCGGACCATTTGAATATTCACACAATGACTGCTTTACACAGAGACCTTTTCCTAAATTTTAGCTCTCTTGATTCAGCTACCCTGGAGTCCTGTTGTGGTGCTGTAGGGTAAGCACTGGACTGCTAACCACAAGATCAGCCATTCAAACCAACCAGGTAACTGCTCCTCGGAAACCCTGTACAAAGTTGCTACAAGACAGAACCAACTAAATGGCACTTAACAAGAGAACAGTGTCTGCCACACAGAGAGGCATCAGGTGTAATGAATGAATAAGAATGATTCCCATCTTCTGAGGAGGCTCTATCTCACCTTTCAATAGCTAAAGTTTACAGTGCCAATAACATGGTGCTTAGAAGAAACACATTATGCAGTTTTCAGATAAGAAGGGCTGTTTCTTATCAAGCCAATGCTAGAATAAATGGATCATTCTAAAACAATTAGTGAGGACAATGACAAAAAATGAAGAACCATGCTCAACAATTTGATTTCTGTGTATTCCATCTGGTGAGGCCCATATGTATAGTCAGCTTTTATATTGTTTTAAAAAAGGTATTTGCAATGAATAAGTTGTTAGTCTTGCAATATTCTGTCATGCCATCTCCAGCATCATTTCAGTCACCAGGGCCATATTTTCCAACTAATGATCTTTGTTTCCAACCTTTGCATTCCAATCACCAGTAGTTATCAATACACCTTGATGAATTGATCAATTTCAGACTGAAGGAGTTGGCAGAACTCTTCAATTTCATCATCATTGGCATTAGTTGTTGGTATGTAAATTTGAGTAATAGTGCTTTTAGATGGTCTTTCTTATAAGTTATGGATATTATCCTATTACAAAGAACATTATACTTCAAGATAGTTCTTGAAATATTCTCTTTTGTCATTCTTGGCATAGCAAACCATGTGATTGCCAAATTCAAAATGGCCAGTATCGGTCCATTTCAGCTCACTAATACTTAGGTTATCGATATTCACGCATTCTACTTAACTTTTGACAACTTCTAATTTTCCTTGATTCATACTTTGTGCATTCAATGTTCTGGTTATGAATGCATGTTTTCAGCTGTTTTTTATCATTCTGAGTTGTATCCCACTAGCAAATGAAGGGCTTTACTGAGAGCTTTACTCCAATTGTATCATCATGGTCAACTCACTTTGAGGAGGCAGCTCTTACCCAGTTGTATTTTGAATGACTTCCAACCTGAGGAACTCATCTTCCAGCACCATATCTGACTATATTCTGGTTCACTTCATCGTGTTTCTATATTCAGTATTCTAATGCTGACAGTGTTCCACTGTTATTCACGTTTTTAGTACTGAACATTTGGAAGTAGGCCATGTCTCCTCTTTCACTTGAAACCTATCCACCATGGGGGATCCTGCCAGCATTCAGAATACCTGTGGCATAGTTTCCAGCATGACAGCAACACACAAGCCATCACTGTGCAATAAAGTGACAGACTAGTTTCCATAACTAATATTATTTCTTCAGATAGCAAATGACTTCAAGCAAAATAGTTCACGCGTCTGTGTATACAGGTGGGCCCATCTCCTTTCACAAAATTCAACAGTAGCAGCATTTCAGAAGGTTGCTCAACATAAAAACAGCTTCTGCCAGAACTGAAAAGGCAACACTATTATTTCTCAAAGTAGCAGGATAGTTAAAATATTTCCTGGCATATCTCAACAGGATAGCACAGCTCCTAGGTGGTTGAGCTTGTCCAAAGAAGTCTTTCTGACTAGAAACTCAAGTTTTCTTCTCTCCGCAGGGCAAGGTTGAAGCTGAGTTTCACCTAGTTACAGAAGAAGAAGCCAAGAAAAATCCAGTGGGGAAAGCCAGAAAGGAACCAGAACCCCTGGCCAAGCCCAAGTGAGTGGAGTCATAGATGAGAGCACCGGAAATGGGAAAGGCCCACTGGGTTCATGCATCACAGGATGTGAGCATTATCTAGAGGGTCCCTCTGGGGAGCACTTAGAAGTGAATCAATCGATAGGTACCGCCTAATCTAATAGCACTTTGTTTCTCTAATTGAAGAACATTCTAAAATCATTAGAGTATTTGGCAAGTGGTGGGGGAGCTTGTCTATAATCCTACTCCATAAACTTGTCTTGATTAATTCCACATATATTCTTGTCTAGTCATTTTCCATGGGAATATAAAATTCGCAAGAATATTTCTTATTCTCCAATCATGCTTGGAAGCATGGCGGCTCCATATGACCAGCACAGGACTGCAAACTACAAGGCTCGCGTTTGAGACCACCAGCTGCTCTGTGGGAGAAAGAGAAGGCGTTCTGCTCCCTCAAAGATTTAAAGTCTCAGAAACACTGTATGAGTCAGAACTGACTCCAAAGCACTTAACAATTGTTCTTATAAAATTATCTTAATATTATTCAAATTTCCACTGTCACGTTTCGCTTTGTTGTCCTGTTGTTGTTGAATGTTGCCAAGTCCATTCCAACTCATAGTGACCCTGTATAGGGTTTCCAAAGAGCGGTCGGTGAGTTTGAACCGCCAACCTTACAGTTCAAACTGATCTTGCAGTCCAGTGCTTGGCCTACATTGCCACACAAGGACTTGTTGTCCTAGTTATCCTAAATATAATTTTTTAAGCATCAAATATTTCATAGATGTGATGCCACATAATTGACTTGGTCACCTTCCCCCCTCAACAATTGAACATTTAATCAACATTTTCCCCACTATTATATGATGAACATATTTTCCATTTAAAAAATGTTTACATGAAAATAAATTTCTAAGGGAATTATTGAAAAAAATATTACTCTATTAAATTCAACCTGTTATCTATCAATTAAAAAGTACATAGATAGATAAATAGATATGAAATATATAAAATAACTCAACTGTATTTGTCCTATCCCCTCCGAGGCCCCAAATGTCACGAGAGTTGTGTCTCTGGACCTATGTTGCTTCTATCATAGTGTTAGGAACATAATGGGTGCTTAATTAGTCATTAATTCATGGTTATTTGTTAAGACCCTTCCAGGTGTAGCTAGCACTAACAAAGACCCCCTGAAGAACACAGGAAAGAGATGAGACAGAAGCTCTGCCTTCCAGGAATTTTTGATCTGCTTAAGGAAAACTAGCAGAGACTCATAAAATACGTACAGAGTCGACAAGGAAAAGAAATTAGATTCCAAGAGCAGGTACATCAAGTGATACGTGAGATGGGAATTCAGAGTGAGGTGGGTCATTGTGGACTAGGTGGTCAGGAGGCGTCATGGAAAAAGTGGGGCTTGAGCTGCTCATGATTAGACAGATATATAGCAGGGGATCAGACCGCTACCTGGGTTCTTAGCCACCTCCAGACCAATCTTGAAAATGGTACAAGAATCATGATTGTCCAAAATGTGAGATGGTTCCATTTAAGGTAGCACGGTCTTCTCCCATTCCCAGACCACTCCTGTGACCCCCACCATCTGGGAGTCAAGTCCTTCCTGGGTCTTGAGAGTCCCTGACTGTTTTTTCTCTGCTTCTCCCTCAGCCGCCCAGACACTTCTTTCTCCTGGTTTGTGAGCCCCTTCAAGTGCTTGTACTACCTCATCTGGAAGAATTACAAGAAGTACATCATCATCGCCTTCATTTTAATCATCCTCATCATCTTCCTGGTTCTCTTCATCTATACTTTGCCAGGAGCTATCAGTCGAAAGATTGTGGTGGGATCATGATGGGTTGTAGAGGGCTTCAAACTCCCTTTTCAAATAAGTCTCTCTTCTTTCTCACCTGCAAATACCTAAAAGCACATACTGTGTGCAGACACTGCAATGGGCACTAAGGGGTAGAAGCAAAGAGCCAAGAACCAGTCCTGAAGTCTAAGGACAGATCAACTCTTTTTAGAGAAAATGGAGACAAAGCATTCCCTCCCCTTCCCCCCCGCAATCCCTGACACTACCTTTCAAACATCCAATGGTGACCTCAATTTGACTTAGGTAATTTTTTCTCTATGTAATTGGTTTTCCTCTGAGCCATTTCTATGTGAGATTTTTTTAGAAATGCTTCCTTTACAATAAAATTTCATAGCAAGTAGACTGAAAACGTTTTAGCAAATTACTAGATATTTAACCTGTCCCATGCCTTAACCTTGTTTAATCCTTACAGTTTATAGAACACATGTACTCAGGTAGTGAAAGTGCTTGGAGCAAACATCCTATCAATCACCTAAATTAGCTCATTGCTGAAAATCCCACTTACAGAAACCACATGTTGGTGGCTTTCTACTAAAGTCAACATTTGCACAGCATGTTTAATAGTAGCAACAAATTCTGGTGAAATCCATTTTGATTTAAGCTGTTTGGCAATTTTGAAGTGGGAATTTTACAATCTATTTTACGATGTGATTTTGTGTGTGTGTCTCCATGCTACCAGTAGCAATGCCCTTTAGTCAGATATAGAAGCCCCACCAACTACAACATTCCCATCGATTGGTAGGAATGGATTACCCGATAAACAAGGTAAGAACATAGTTAGGACACCAACAAAAGGGGAGCACCAGTTGGCCAAAGCAAAGATCTGTAGATGCCAAGCAGACAGGACATGAGAAAAGTGGAAAGGAACTAGCAGGGTGCTAAATGGAGTTGATGCCAACATCAATGCATGGCAATGTGCTGGCCAGAACTAAAGTCCATACAAGGTCACAAGGGAGCTGACGTGCAAGGTCATTTAAGCTATGAAGACCCTACCACTTCAACACCTTCTTTGATATCTGTCTCGTATAGCCCTCTCTCATACCTTTGAAACTCTTTATCTTGACAGGTATCTTGAAAGTATTCTATTTCTTTCTAATAAACAAGAGGCAGAGTATAGGCTATTGGGCTTAATCTTGCTTCATTCTTCAACAACTGAATCTAACCAGTGATTACTAGGCAAGGATGGTGTATTAATAGACAGCAGGTCTCTAACCCATTTTGAGAGAAACATCTTCTACATCCACATCTGCTGATTCATCAGCTCTATCCAGAAGAGCCAGCAACACTCTTTGCCATGATACAGACACAAGTGTATGCTCTTGAACATGTCCTGGTAAACAACCAACGAGAACTCTAGTCTCATATTATGCACAAAAGAGAGGGAATTCAAGTAAGTCAACCATTGCAATGCATTTAATTACCTTTTAACTGCATAGCATTTAAATAAGAGTTATGTTCTAAGTTCTGTAGACAACAATATTTGTAACATTGAAATATGTTTAAATGCCATCTAGCATACTTTTAATCTAATACTAACATGGGTAATGGAATCCTAGTATGGTGTTGTAGGATAAGCACTGGACCACAAGGTCGGTTTCAAGCACAAGGTCAGCAGTTTAAACTCACCAGCCACTCCTTGGAAATCCTATACAGGGTTGCTATGAGTCAAACAACTTGATGGCACTTAATAACAATAAACATGGGTAATAATTTAATATAATACTAACAAAGCAAACATCCCCAAATACTGGAACTATTAATATTTGTGTAATATGAAGTTACAATTTATAAATCAAGTGAATTTCATTTTTTATTATTCAGGGAACACACTACTTGATACTACTGTACATATGCTAATAAATGAGGTATGAGGCACATTCCGGGGACACAAAATTCGATATATATTTATCATACGAAGTATGATTCTTTTTGCAACAATGAGTGTTTATAATTTGTCTTCCAAGAAAGCACCAAGAGACATTTATCAGATTATTTATATCTTATCAGAATCTTTATGTACCTCCATGTAACCATCTAAAGAAATTGAACAAATGCTTGAGGAAATATGTTTAATATTTAGATAATAAAATTTATATTAATGTATTTGATTTTCCACTTGCCTTCAGACTTTTAAGAAATTGATATTGTAATGACTCACCAAATAAACGTGCTCGTTGAGAAATGGTGCTGTTGATACATCAAGCATGTATCTATCCTGAATATGGGAGTTGAACAATTCCACAAAGGAATACAATGTACATTTTATAAATTTTGTATTCCTAGGTTCTCTTGGAATTCTGGTGTGGCACTGTGGGTTAATGTGTCAGACTGCAAAGACAGTTGAACTACAAGGTCGGTGATTCAAGCTCATAAGTAGCTCCTCAGAAGTCCTATGCAGGGTCGCTATGGGTTGGAACTGACTTGACGGCACTTCACAACAACAACAGGTGCTCTTACATGATTCTTAGGTTGTCTACAATTTTATACTTGATCCATCAGTTGACCACATAGAAATAGTTGCTGCTGTTAAGTGCATGGAGATGGTTCCAACTCATAGCAACTCCAATGGGGTTCCTGAGGAGTGGCTGGTGGGTTTGTACCAGCGACCTTGCAGTTCAAACTGACGTTGCAACCCAGTGCTTATCCTGCAGCACCACAACAAGACTCCTAAGAATATGGTTGTTGTTGTTGTTATGTGCCGTGGAGTCGGTTCCGACTCTTAGCGACCCTACACAGGGTTTCCGAGGCTGTGAATCTTTACGAGAGCAGAAAGCCTCATCTTTCTCCTGCGGAACAGCTGGTAGTTTCGAACTGTTGACCTTGCAGTTTGCAGTCTGATTCGTAACCACTAAGCTACCAGAGCTCCTTGGGGGGGGGGGGGGGGGGGGGGGAAATAGAGCAGAGGTAAGTAAGTAAGAAAGAAAGAAAGTAAAGTAAGTTAAATAAATAAATAAATAAAACCCATGGCCCCTGCCACTATAGGTTTTGCATTCTAATACCTTCCTAAGATATTGTTTAATCTTCAAATTATGGGTCATCCAAGAAGCATCCACTGCTGTTGAGTCAATTCTGACCCACAGCGAGCCCACAGGATGGAATAGAAGAGCTTCATAGGGTTCTCAAGGCTGTAAATCTTTACAGAAGCAGACTGCCTCATCTTTTTACCATGGAGTGGCTGGCTGGTGGTTCAAACCTCAGCCCAACACTTAATTCACTGTGCATAAGGGCTTCTTTGAAGAAGGGCACCAGGTAAAAATGTGTTTTAATTTTAAATGCGATTTCAGAATAAACACAGCTTGCAGCTGTGCTGTTGTGTAAAAAGCAGGAGACTAACAATACCCCAGGATAAATTCAGAGTTTAGGTTTTACACCCTGTGCTAGAGAGTGGGAGGGAGGAGAGGTAGAATACCTAAATCCCAAATTTATCCTGGGGTATGCTATTCCCTTCTGCTGCTGGGGAGTCCTGGTGTGGCACTGTAGGATAAAGCACTGGACCCACAAGGTCAGTTTGAACAACAAGGTTGGAGGTTCAAACCCACCAGCCACTTCTCAGAAACCATAACATCGCTATGAGTTGGAACTGACTTGATGGCAATTAATAACTATAACAACACCCTCTGCTGGGGGGTGGGGGACTCCTGGTTTGGTACTGTAGGATAAGCACTGGACTGCTAACCACAGTCAGTGGTTCAAACCCACCAGCTGCTCCTCAGAAACCCTATACAGGGTTGTTATGAGTCAGAACTGACTTGATGGCAATTAACAATAACAACAATAACCCTCTGCTATGTTACAGACACTGGGCTTCTGGTGTGATACTATAGAAATTACAGAAATTGTGTTCACTATATATATTCCGTGACATCAAGTATTTTTTGACATTATTAAAATGCTTTTTAATACCTGAGCACTATCTAAATATACTTTTTAAGATCTTCCCATTGGTGAGCAGAAGTGGCAAAAAGTACGTAGAGTATTTGAACAGCAGAAAAAACATAACCGATACTGAACATTAATCTACATCCTAGCAACTGGTGGGTTTGAACGACTGGACTTCAAAATACAAGGTCAGTGGTTCAAATCCGCCAGTTGCTCCTCTGAAATCCTGTACAGGGTTGCTCTGAGTCAGAATTGGAATTGACTTGATGGTGCTTAACAACAACAGTGTTCCAGACAAGAAAATGTTAATCTATATTCTTAACAAAACAATGTACACTGTTTGAAAATCATAATAAAAGCAATGAAAAACAAACAAACAAAAAATCTAAAACGCCTTCTAGGTTAAATAAAGTTCATCAACTTTCCATAGTTGTCAAAAGATGTTGAAATGCTGAAAACCCTTTAGCAGAAGTCCATGAAACACTTTCAGATCAGATGGTGTCATCAGAAATGTGTGAGAAGTACTGGTAATTTTGGAATCAGTACGTCTGGTGTTCTATACATAGGGTATCATTTATGGTCTGTCCTGAATGCAAGAAATAAATAAAATAATGTTCTAGGGCTAATTGTACAGCCCTGGTCCTGAAAATGTTACAGTTTTAAAATAAAAAAGGCAGAAAGCTCATTTCCCAAGAAATTTGTCATGAGTCCCCTACTGATGTTCTTAAATAAGATTAATTTAAATGTATTCATTTAACAGCTTAGAGTTTTTCTTACAGTTTAAATCTGTTCCAGGGTGGTTTAGCTTATGTTTTTTTTTTTACAACATTTGAATACTTTTCCCCAATCAAAGCAAAACAAAATTAATACCAGCAACAACACCATCATAATACTCCCCACAGGATAGGATATCCAATTCTAAGTCTGTAGTTGAAACATTTGATGCCTTTCTTTCTCCTTCCCTTGTAAGATAACACAAATGGAAATTGAACTGGCTTCACAGTTGGTGCCATTTAATATTTATCAAATAGGTGACTCATTATTGAGTACCACTGGTGCAGTGGGTTGGGTTAAGCATTGGACTGCTAACCACAAAATCAGTG